ATATATTGCAGGGAGATGAGGTCCTTGCCTTCCAATGGCAGGAAAGAGGATAGTGATTTGTACTCCTCCTCCTCATTGTTTGAGCCAAACAGATGCAGACAGAGATCCTTTTCAAACATCCCAGATCCCAAACACACAGAAATGCAGAGAGCATCAAGGGTTTCAGTATCATCAAAATCTCTGAGTTACAGTGCTGAAAGCTCAGATGTCACCCACTGCAGATGACAGCAAGGTGCCCTATTACATCCACGTAAGATAATTCTTAGTTTCAGAAATTACAGGATTTTATGTATCAGCACAGCAGGTGAGCCTTGCTCTTCAGGGTACAAGTAGTTGACATCCAAATGCTAGAATATGGCCAGAAATTGCACATTTGGAGTTCCTTATGAGGCTTGAATTCAGCCAATGCTTATGTACAGGCCTAAAAATATGCTTAGTTACACAGTCCTGCTAAGCTATTTTTCTATTCCTTTTGAAGACTCATTGCATCCAGAGCATAGATGGGATATCTGAATGGGATCCATTCAGGATATATGGGGAAATTTAAACCAAATATTTCCTAACTTTTGGTACATAAGGCAGAGTAGCTTAAAATATTTCTTCCATACTTTCATCTGCTGAATGCAACATAGCTTTAACTACATGCTGATTAGTTTCCTGTGCAAATCAGAAGAGTCTGAGACAGCTAATAGGTCACCACACACTCATGTCTATTTTGACAGAGGGTACTTTGGATACACATCTGGTAAGAATGGAGACCCACCAGGCAAGTATTTCCATACAGACCCATGCCTGCCTTGCACAGCAGTAATTCTGAAAGGTCAATGATGTGGGTATCTTGAAGACTGCAGATTGAAGCAACCCAGTCAGCAAGCTAACAATTAAACAGTGTGATGAATCCAGGCTCCGGCACTTAAATTTGTTCCTTTTGCATTTGGCAGTATCAACAGCTCTGTGATCTGCCATATCTAAATTACAGTAATTGAGTAAATTACTGGAAAAAGAAATAATCTGCCTCCCCAATTTGAATCGAGTGGCTTAGCATGTCCTCACTACCGTCCTGTGTGTTTTTCACAGCTCACCCACATAGAAAGATTGGCAACACTGAGAAGATATTCAAACACCTCTCAAATGCTTCATTTTTATTGCACTGTTCAGCTTGCAGCTCCCCAGCCCTTTCATCACCAGAGCAGAACACCCTATTGCTCCTAAAACAAAGTCAGGCAACTCTATGAGCCTTCCACATGGAAATCTGAGCCATCAAGGTAAATAAAAGGAATTAATTCCTACTTCATTTTATATTCTAGATATGCCTCTCATGCTTTTATTATCATTTCCAGATCTTACCACCATTGTTTTACTGTGTTTTATTAAAACAATAATGCGAATTTTCCTCAATAGGAAGAGAAACGTAAATGAGATAAAATCAAGTATTGTTAACCATTTCTCTAATTGTAGCTATTAAATACACCGGTTATAAACTAAGATCTCACTTTGAGAAATCTTGCACACATACACAATATAAAGACAATACTATTTCAGACAATGCAGACTTTTAAAATTAGCTGTGCTTGAAATTGGTGCATATGTCAGGATTGTAAAATAAAGATGTGATCCAGGAAGTACTGGGCTCTTACTCTGCTTATGAACACCTATTACTCAGTAATAGACTGCTCTGTGTAAATACTGTTCATAATATATATAAAAAGAAAAGAAAATTTTTGCTTAAACATCCTTCTGTCCTGTGTGATCACCTTACAAGTTCTGAAAATACACTTGTTTCCAACATTGGTGGTTTAACAAGCACAAAAACTTTCAAATTTAACTCCTGTAAGTAATTCTTATTTAGTGTTTGCCAGGCTGGAGACTGTTCCACAGATGGCAAAGAGCTGCTGAAAAGTGCTGCAGTCCAAACCTGCAGACAGCTGCTGTAATGCATTTAGTACTTCAAGAAGATACTATACCTCTTTATTCAAAGTGACACACAAAACTGATCACCTAAAACTGTGTTTTGCAGCATGTAGTAGAGGTGCAGTACCTGGAGCCACAGGAATGCAGTGCTGGTGAGACACTCTGTGTTCTCCAGGAAAGGGTGTCTGCACCTCCAGACTTCACAGTCAACCTCAGACTGGACTGGTATTGCTCAGCCATATGCAAACACATGCAATAAATCAGTATCTGTAGAAGCCATTAAAAATTAAAAGCATAAGGCAATTAAAAGGTGGGTGAAATGTTTGACTCCAGGTAGTGGTCTGTACACACTGAGCACATGTTGGAATGGATCCTAACATACTCATTATCCTATCTGATATGTGCTGCCTGCTTCATGAGCAGTAACTAGCTGCTGGTGGCAGCGAGGACAAGAAAGCACTCCACAGGCAGAGCAGCATGCAGGATAAAGCTCAGGTTGAGTCCAGACCTGGAAACAACAGCACACAGGATTATGCTCAGGTTGAATCCAGAGCTCCACATCTGTAACATTCTGTACCAGTATGTGCATGACTGCATAAGAAAGACAGTTAAGTGACATAAGAAAAGTATCGCAGGCCCACTGATTATTAGCTTCTGCTTCTATCAGATGTGTGGGCTGCAAGGCGAAAGCATTCTCTGGGTGTCATCACAGCCAGCAAAGATCCACACCATGGGTGAATGAGGATAACCACTTTGATCAAGTTAACCTCAAGTACACTGAGTCTCTCTCAGGGTTTTGACTGGTTTCCAGCTTTGACAGCACAGGCATCATGCATCAGCAGGATCAAATCTGTGCATGTGCCCTGTGACCATCTTGTAACAGATGTTCTCGCAACCACAAGCAGCTCTAGCTCCAACTCGCAGCCACAGCACGTTGTTCTTCATCAGCCTCTCTGTGTGCGCCAAAGCTCTTGCTGTTTCTGACCTCATACTTTATCAGCTGATGGAACTTGACAAAAGGGATACATGCCACCTCCAATGTGATTTGGTGATCATACATCACAGTGGGATCTAGTCAGTAACAATCTGCCCTTCCCAGGCACTGAGAATCTTTTATCAGCTGCCCACTGCCCTTAAGCTGTACATCAAGGAGACGAGAACTTAATAAATCTGAGAGCCGTTTTAATGAATCAAAGGGAGAGATGAGAGCGTCTCTAGTTGTGTGGTTTTTAGAACAATTATGGGATTGAGTCATGCTGCAAATTTGTTGGACCCACTGATGTGGACTAGTAGAGAAGAAAGCACAGTGTGTGAAGCTGCCACTGCCTTGAGTTATTTAATGTGTTGGCTAACAGGGCACAGACAGTGATACAGGAACACATGAGTAATTTGAAGAAAATATGGGTGATCCACAGAGTTCCAGCAAGGAGAGTGAGTTTAATGGTGGTGATGGAGCGAAGAGGACAAGGGCACCATTTTTGAAAGGTATTAAGGCAGCTCTCCCTCCTTATTTAAGGACTTTAAAAAAAAAAAAACACGTGGTGCTTGATGGAGAAGAGGGGGAAGGAGAGGAATGTCTGATGAGCTGTACAATAGAAGGGCAGGGTATGATAAAGACTGCAGCAAGAGAGCATGCCTTCTTAGAATTGTCTGAGCACACAGTCTTTTCCTTCAACCAGTGTAGAAGGGACTATTTCTCTGCTCTGGCACACGGTGTCCCAGCTGTGTTTGGCCAAGAAGTTAATAGACCATGACCAAACATCCCCACAAGATCCATATGAGCAGGCAACAGAGTGAGGCTGTGCTAGGATGCTGGGCAGTGTGACTGTCCTGAGCTTTGGGGAACACTATGCTCACAGTGTCAAACACCAGAGGCCTGTGTTTGGCTGTACAGCAGACAAGGAGTTTCAGGATTGGGATACTTGTAACATCTAACATTCATCTATCATACACCAGATGTATGCACTACATGCACACATTGAGCTAGAAAGCCTTTACTCTACAGTTTAAATATAATGGATGCAAACACTATCTTTCATGTTGAAGGACTGAGCCAGAAGTTTTACTTCCCCTCACTTGTTTTATATGGTCCCCTTTTCTTTGCATTCATTACAGCTTTGTCAGCCTCTAAACACCTAAGAATCATAGAATCATGGAATCATAGAATGGTTTGAGTTGGAAGGGACCTCAAGGATCATCAAGCTCCAAACCCCCTTATCGTAGGCAGGGCCACCAACCTTCCCACCTAATGCTAGACCAGGCTGCCCAGGGCCCCATCTAATCTGGCACTGAATACCTACAGGGACAGGGCATCCACAACCTCTCTGGACAGCCTGTTCCAGCACCTCACCACCCTCTTGGTAAAGAACTTCCCCCTGATATCCAACCTAAATCTTTCCTGCTTCAACATAAAACCATTTCCTCTTGTCCTGCTATTATCTACCCTTTCAAAGAGTTGACTTCCCTCCTGTTTGTAGGCTTCCTTTAGGTACTGGAAGGCTGCAATGAGGTCACCCTGCAGCCTTCTTTTCTCCAGGCTGAACAAACCCAGCTCCCTCATCCTGTCTTTGTAGGGGAGGTGTTCCAGACCTCCAATCATCTTTGTGGCTCTCCTCTGGGCACCTTTCAACAGCTCCCTGTCTTCCTTGTATTGGGGGCTCCAGACCTGGACACAGTACTCCAGATGGGGCTTCACAAGAGCAGAGTAGAGAAGAACAATCACCTCCCTGTCTCTACTGGCCACCCCTCTTTGGGTTGGAAAGAGAGCCTATCTATTTTGCACTTAAGTTACAAACCCAAGTTGGAAACAAATACAACTTCAGAAAGTGCTGCATGATATCTGCTTGTCCTTGAGCAGTACTTTCCACAGCTTTGCTTCAATAAACTTCCTTGGCATTCTTTTAGGATATCATTTATTTACCTCAGCTGTGTCTTTGAAGATGAACACATCATTTTGTCACCTATCTTGATGTTTTTACTGTTTTCTGTGTTCAAATCACAAAATGATGGAGTGTTCCCACGCGCACACACAAAAAAAACAACTGATATTTGTAAGATAATAGTAATTAAAAGGACATGGCAAGCAAAAGTAGGTTAACATACTGAGATATGTTTATTTTCTATCAGTTATAAAACAGTCTTGTGAATTTTCCTTAATTGATTTTGGTTATGTCAGGGCCTTTAGTTAATTCTCCATCACTTCCAAGAGCCCTGAGGTAACTCACTTCCCAGGGAGAAAATTCTGCCTGACTTTGAAAACGCGCTATTGCTGAGCGCAGAGACTCACTGAGCAGACTGGTAGTTCTTTTCAGCAGCAGGAGAGATCCAGGAGGTGATTAGCTTTGTTCTCATTTACAAAGCACCAGTGAGAATTTCTAAAGGGTTTCACAGGCCCTGGGGATAAGGCCAAGAACAAAACAGGACAGTGAAAAGCAAATAGAAAACTTCATCAATAAACTACTTAGAGATGCCACATCAGTGGCAAATTAGAAAGAAAAGAAGGCACCCTAATACTTTCACATAGCAAAGGGGGCTTATATATTGTTTTTATTCCTACTTGACTTTTTTTAAACAACTGCAATGCTATCAAACTAGATACACAGTGGGAACGAAGGTAATAGAAACTCAGCATAAGGGTGACAGTCTGATAAGATTTGAAAGGGAGACACGCACAGCTCTGTATCACTTCCACAATACCAACCTCTGCTAAGGGTTACCATCTTCAGGAACTCAGTCCTGAGAGGGACTGGGAAGAGATCTGTAGAACAGAGAAAAGGCTGCCAGGAGTTGTGTGACCACTTACCAGAGATGCAGATCTGCTGCTGCCTCAACACCCCCTGCCAGCCCGTGTTCAACAACAGGCAGTGGGCACTCCAGTGGTTTTTGTTTTTTTTTTTTTGCAGTCTATTTGCTGCAAAAGAACACTGGCAATTAGTTTATGTTAAAAATCTCGCTTCAAACAGAAAACACTTTGCATTTTAGAAAAGCCTACACAAGCTCAGTTTTCTAGGGTGGAGAAAAAAAAAAGAAAAAAGAAAAGAAAAGGACTAGACAAACTCCTTTGCCTCAATTTATGAGCTTTTTCTTAAGTTAAAAAAAAAAAAAAGCGAAAAATTGCTTTGACAAAGCTGTGTTTTCAAGTATAAACCAGTTTCAAGCCATCCCACATCGAGCTTGCTCAACAGCATCTGAAAGACACTACAGGGAAGAGAGAGGGAGGAAATTTCACAGCAGCTTAATGCTGTCTCAGGCGGGGCTGCAGCAATCCAGTGTCAAAATCCTGCTCTCCCTCACCAGTTTGCAAGTGACTCAAAGTGCTCTGGAGTTGTACCCCAGTGACAGGAGCAAACTGGGAAGCAACAGGAGGAGGTATATCAACTGCCTTACCCTTTGGAGAGCAAATGGGTGATGAGTAACCATTTTACATCCATAGAACATTCAGATTTGTAGAGGATTTATGACGTTTTGAGTTACTGTTTCAAGCATGGAGGTCCCCTGGGAGTCGTATTTATGACGCTGGGTGTTCTCTTTCCTCTACCAACAGACAGCGCTGACTAGCAGGCTTTACTGTAAACCCACCTGTTTGCTAACAGTGTTTTGGCTTCTTGTCTGCCTCACAGAGTCTTCATCAAAACAGCTATGCGTTCAGAAGACACTCGCTCGGTGAGAGGGAAGCATCAGCTGCAGTTCCTCCTGAGTCTTTGTAAATAATTCTAAGAGTTCTTGCTCATCAAATTGCTCCAGAGAACCAAATGTATCACTGCCCCTCCTGCAGAAGGACTTGCTTTTTGATAGGACAGCCTGATCTTGTAGTCGGTAACCCTGTCCATAGCAAGGGTGTTGGAGCTCAATGATCTTTAAAGTCCCTTCCAAATCTAAGCCATTCTATGGTACCATAACAGCAATCTTTGTAAAGCTTCCTGGACAGATGTACTGGTAACTCCTTCCTCCATGTGCACACATCTCCAGCACCCTGCAGAGCCGTATAATTTGGAACTGGTGCATACACAGCTCCAAACCCAGTGGCTTCTGATGGGATTCTGTAGCACAGGAGCAACTACATATCATAGAGTCCTTAGAGTTGGAAGGGACCCTTAAAGATCATTGAGTCTGACTCCCCTGCAATGAACACAGACACCTACAGCTCCATCAGGAGCTCAGAGCCCCGTTCAGCCTACCTTGAGTGCCTCCAGGGACGGGGCATCCACCTCCCTGGGCAACCTGTGTCAGTGCCTCACCACCCTTAGTGTAAAAAATTTTTTCCTTATATCCAGTCTAAATCTCCTTCGGTTTAGTTTGAAATCATTTCCCTTTGTCCTGTCACCACAGACCTTACTAAAGCGTCTGTCCTCATTCTTACAGTCTCCCCTTAGATACTGAAAGGCTGCTCTCAGGTGTCACTGCAGCCTTCTCATCTCCAAGCTGAACAGCCCCAGCTCTCAGCCTGTCCTTATAGGAGAGCTGTTCCATCCCTTGGAGCATTTCTGTGGCCCTCCTCTGGACACATTCCAACAGCCCCATGTCCCTGCTATACTGAGGACTCCACATCTGGACGCAGTGCTCCAGGTGAGGCGTCACAGTGCAGAGTAGAGGGGCAGGATCACCTTCCTCGCCCTGCTGGCCACATTGCTCTGGATGCAGCCCAGGATACAGCTGGTTCTCAGGGCTGTAAGGGCAGCAAGATTTCCTTGCTTTTAGCAAGGACTGTCACATCCGGATGCACAGGGGAGAGGCCAGATGCAACCCCTGCTGCTGGGGAGGTTATGAGGGGGGATCCCCACCAGCTCCGACTCTCCCTCGCCGGGATGAGCACACCCAGCACACAGCACACAGCACACCCAGCGCACCCAGCGCACCCAGCGCACCCGCTGCCCCGTCCCTCACGCCCCGGGGGGACACGACCCCCACCTCCCTCCGCGGCGGCTCTCGGGGCGCTCGGCGACGCCCGCAGCCTCCCTCCCTCATCGACCTCACCTCCGCCGGGCTGCGGGCGGAGGGAGGCGGGCGGGCTGCGGCAAAGGGAGCGGCGGCGCTCGGTGCCGCCCCGCCTCGGCCCGCCCTCCCCGCGCGGCACGCCGGGCCGACATGGCCGCTTCCTGCGCCGCCGGGCGCTGCCCCTCATTCGGCTGACGGCCGCCCGCTCCGGGGCCGCCCCGCCGCCCGGCATGGAGGAGAGCTCCAGCTGCGAGAGCCTCGGCGCCGGGCGGGCGGTGGCAGCGCGGCCGCCCAGCGGCGATTCCCTGTCCAGGTAACGGCCGCCGCCGCGCCATCGCCCCCCGCGGGCAGCTCCCGCTCCCCGGCGCTGGGCCTGAGGGGCTCCCGCTGCACGGAGCCGTCGCGGGGCGGGGGGAGAGCATCCGTGCCGCCGTTCTCCCGCCGTGCTGCTCCGCTGCTGCTGCGCGGGGCTCGGTGCGGCTGAGCCCTGTGCCGTATTACTAACAGGAGCGAACGTCGCTGGGGTTTGTTGAATCCGTGTCGTCTCGTCCATCCACTGGCTGCTTTAGGAGAGCCTGATTTTTTAGTCTTAATGACATTTTAATGCTGCGTGGGTGATTTCCGAGAGGAAATTACCGCTGCGAGGCTTCCTGCGTCTCCCAGGTAATGAGAGAGGTGTGGATGCTGTGACTCAGAAGCACATCTTGCTGAGGCTGTGAGGGTGGGGCACAGGAGGTGGTTCGATGCCCGGCGGCTGGAGGGGTCCTGCCCCGTTCTGGCTGCCCTCTGTGCCCAGGTCGAAGGGCCCTAAGGATCTCTCAGTCCTGCTGGCATGGCTCGGAGGCCAGGTCATACTGGGAACGTGCAATGATAGAGACTGCACATCCTCCATAGGCTGGCCATCCCCTTGATTGTAGTCTCTGGAGGCTGCCTGTGGGTCCTTCCAAAGTATTCCTGCTCCAGGCTGACCAAACCCAGCTCCCCCAGCCCTTCCTTATGGGGATGGTGGTCCAGCCCCTGCCCTCTCCATAGTGTCTCCTGAGCTCCCTCCAATGCCTTTAGCTCTAATGAGTGCTGAGTTGAGGAGGCAATCCTTTCCCTGCATGTCCTGGTGTTTCCCCATTCCTTCAGGCCAGGGTGACATTGACTTCTGCTCTGCTGTGCCACCCAGCAAGACCCCCAGGCAGGCAGTGCCCACGCTGCAGCCGGGGTGCTTCCTTCTCATGTCCTTTGTGACCCCTTGTCTTCATTTCACTGTGCTTCATCAAACTCTTCTGTATCTGTTTCCGTAGTGTAGTTTACCTGCTAGATGCCTAGAGGCCTCTTTTCCCTTTTTCCTCACTTCCCCAGTATACTTCTCTTTCTTACTCTGCATCAGCTTGGGCAGCTTGGACCCATCTGAAGGTCAATCACTGTATGAGAGACTGGGACCTGTGGTCATGGAAACACAGCTTATCTTGAAGATCCTTACTCAGCAGCATGCCCCATACAGATGGAATCACTGGGAGATGGAGATGGTAAATCTGTCTCTGCTGAGCATGCACAAGACTGTCCTCCAAGTCCTGAAAAGGCCTTAACTTGAACAGTTTTCTTGGGGTATTAAGAAGCTTATCCAATAACCTTCAGAATTTCAAGTCTCTGCTCCAGCGTCTCAAACTTACAGAAGAAGTCTGGTCAATTTTTTTTGTGTGTTCCAAACAAATTACCTTTTTCTCTGGCTGATTATTGGAAATTGATGCACCTTTTTCCTATGCAGTTATTAATTTAAAAAATAAAAAGTTCATATTGAATTTGGTACTTTAGTTGAAATGGTTATGGTTAGGGTGAAATTATAAGACAGCAAAATGAGGCTCTTGCAAAGAGAAATGCCTGGTGACCTTCGGAATGTTTTTTACCAGCTTTCCCTGCAAGTCTGATGGTGCCCACACAGAAATAATCAATTTTCCTGTGGATGGGACTGTAGATCCCTTGCTCAATTACTAAGCTGAGATTTTAGATCTGCAGTGCAGTCTGATTCTGTGTGCCAGAACATTGCTTCTGAAGCAAATACACTGAAACATATTTGTATGGACATATTTATTTTCATCCCTTTCTTACTGTGGTCTGTAAGATGGGACAGCTTTGATCTGTTAACTTATGACTGCAGCTGTGTGAAGTATTTGTGCTTAGTGGGTTCTTTTGATTGTTTTTAAAAGTTTACTTTGGGAGGATATGAGGAGTGCAGAGAACTGAGAGGGTGCTGTCATCAGCTTTTGGAATCTGTTTTATTAAAAAGGAACAACAACAACAAATGAGTAGAATGGCACTCATTCCAGGCTCACAGTGAAGCGTTAGTGAGTTGTGTTTGAATTGCTGTGGGCAAAATTTGTAGTACTTGGAAAGGTGCTGGTGTTACATATATCTAGCAGCACGTTCTTTGGATTCTTTCAGCACCTGCTGAGAAGTTAAGCAAGTTTCATATTTCTAGAGATAAATTTAAGTTCTGACCCCTCAGTAAAGCACACCTGGTAGAGTTTACCATTAGAAAGGTTGCTCATATGAATAAGCGCCTTAAAAAACATGTATTAGGATGTTTGTCATTTGGCTGTGCAGATGGGATGTAGCAATGGTGACATTTGGCAGTGAAAGTTGCTTTGATATTTCAGTAGACCTGAGTAATGCACAGTACTCATGCTCCTGGAGTAAGAGATGGGAATAACCGTACAATGTTACTTGTTTTCTGTTCTACCTGTAAAAATATTCCATAAAGTTTGAGGCTCACAGTACAGCTGTTTGTAGAAAATCCTCAGTTCTGGGTGGAAATACTGAGTTGGTTTTGTGGGAGCAGATCAAAGCAAAGAGCAGAAGTGCCCTTCTCGTTGTGCTGATACAGCCATGCTGCTTCTCCAGTCTGACTTGGCTCAGCTGGCGCTAGCTTTGGGTGGCAGAGCACTGGCTTCTGGTTTCCAAAGGACAATATTTAGGATGGGCTTTCCCCTTGGATCCTGTTCTGTGGAAGGACAGGTGATCATGAGCCAACCACTCATAAAAAGGTGCCGTGGCATTCAACTAGCAGCTTGCGAGGAGCTTGTGTATGTAGAGTCAGACCAGGAGCAACCACAGGGCAGAAAGGAGAAAGGTAACGCGCTGCTTCAAAGGGTGTCTTTGAGCTGCACTGTGGTTATGTCAGAAAGGCACAGAAGTACAAGCTTTCTTCAGCAGTATGGACTTCTTCTATCTGTAAAAATGGTCTGGGGCTTCTGGGGGAGTGATAAATACCTTTCCTCTGTGCTAAGTAATACTTTGGAAAGACTCTCTGTGAAATTAATGTTTTTTAGAGGTTTGGGTTTTTTTGTTTTTTTTTTTTGTTTTTTACTTGAAGCTGCATATAGACCTTTGGAATTCCAAGTAACAGCCAGCAAAATTCTGCCATAATCATTCTTTCTGGGAAAGGAAAGTCAGATGTAGCCATGCGTGACTTTAGCAAAGTGCCTGGCTTGTAGAAAAGGTGGTGTTGAACTGTAAGTGTCTAATTTACATTTCATTAAAGGTGAGATAAGGCATTTTGTTTGTGTTCTGATTACGTGTCTTAGTCTCCAAATGAACAAATCTCTGTGTGCTTCTATAAAATGGTCTCTGAAAAAAATATTAAAGCTCAGTCTGAACAACAGACAAGTAGAACTGCTGGGAGTCTTTCTGTTAGGTTCACTGAAGGTAAATTTGTACTGCCTGTGCAGAAGCATGGAGGTGGTTGTACAGGAAGGAAATTGCTGCAGGAGATGTCGGTGATTTTTCAACCTCGGTATAAAATGACAGACAGAGATAAGGCAGTGGGCAGATGTTTCCTGCCAGCGTGACTGCAGCAGTGTTTGATGTTACCACTTTCTGGTTGCTTGTTACCACCTTTCTGCTGGCAGTTATCATCTGCAAAGGTCTGTGGGCGCAGTGAATCCTGTGCACTGCACTTCTGCTGAAGCATATGAAAACAATCATGCTCCTTGTCCTTAGTGTTTGCAGGGATAACTCGGAAAACATAAGCTCTGTGTAAATCAGTGCAGCAAGGTCTGTTGAAGCAATAGCTCCATGAGGTATGAACTCCTCCGTTCATCTCAAATAAGGTCCTGTCAATACCTGCTCTGATTTAAGGCTATGTTGAAGGAATTCTTTCCCCACAGATGAGAGTGATGCTGGAAGGAGTTGGATCTGTAAGCTGTTGGCTGAGGAGGGCTCGCTAGCACCACATTGCTACCAGATGTGTGTGATTTGCTGATGGAGTTGTTTTGTGATGAGTCATTGAAGTTAGAGTTTGAAAAGGAAGGGTTTTGCCAGTTCTGGCATTTAGTAAAATGCGAGTAGCTGTCTTTTTCTTCCTAGACTTTGAGAGCACTTCTTGCTTTTGATTTCTTCTATGTGTGCAACAGGATTTCTCAAGAGTTGTTGCCATTGAAGACAAGTATGTTGCTTGCTGAGTGTTGATAATGAACTGATCTTTTGTATCTGAGAAAATTAATGCTATGCCTAGAAGCAATTAGCAGCTCCAGGCAGGCTCATTACTATTAATTTTAATATGTGAGTGATAATTTATGACACTTACTTGCAACTAAGGTCCATTCTGAGATAGGTTTTTTTTTTTCAAGTACTGTATATTGTGAAGATAAGAAATAGTTTTGCCTACGTGACTTGCAGAATGAGGAGAGTCTGTTGTTAGAGTCAGAGGATTCGGGCAGAAAATTGATAAAATAAAGCTGTGGAGTCTTTTTGGGTGAATGTTATTTTCAATGCACTTGTGAGGAGAAACTCTAACCTTTGAAGAATATGGGAATTGCTTTTAGTAGCAGTCTTTGGCATCCACGTTTCAGTTCCTGCTTCTCTTGGCTTATGAGCCCTTCAGCCATACGAGTTTTCCTTTTGGGCACACACAGATTCCTTTGTCCAGATTCTAAACATTCATTAAAAGTGCACGTTCTTTTTTTTTTTTAAGGTATGTTTTCTATTTGAGAATACAAAATACAGTTGGCATTCACCTGTTTCTTGTATTCTAATTAACGATAAATTACTGCTTGGAAGCCTTATGAGAATTTGGGGTGCCACAGCTCTAGCTGCTGTATGAATACAGAAAGAAGTGATTTCTGCATTGGAGAGCCAGGGCTGCTCTATTTTTACCAACGCTGGCGGGTCGTTTTACTGAGCTCTTGGACGTGCAGTAGAGTGCTGTGGCTCCTTGCTGAGAGATGGAGCAAAGAGCGAGAAAGTCTAACTAAGAATGAGATGAAAAACTGCTGTGGAGGGATGAGGCCAGATCTGACAGCTGATGAGGAATAGAGCGAGACTGAG